CTACACTAACTTACATATTATTAACTTATTCAATAATTGCTAAATCATACAAAATATTAATAAATAATTCACTTACCTAGTCTCGATCAGGGATCAAATCGGACATCTGGTCGTCTTGGACATCCAAAATCGCTACTTCATGTACGATACCCTACGCCTCTTCCTCCATCAACGGCGTCAAATGAGTTATTACTTCAAACTAACATATTGACATTTTAAAAAGATAAAATCATGTAATGAGATTTTAGATTATGTACAATATAAATCACAAATTTATAATACTCACATGAGGGTCGTCGAGAAGAGCCGATAATTGTTTCCTAGTGGGATATCCCTTCGCTCGAGATGCTAGCCAATGATGCATCCAAGGGCAGCATGTCTCCTCTCGCCGCGCAAAGCGGGTACCCAATAAGGGGATAATCTCATAGGCCCAGACCTGCAACACATAAATTAGTACATACAAATTCAATAGAAAAAATATTTTAACATTGATTGCTTTAATCATTTACCTACAGCACCAAGGAAAATCCGTAAGTGTCATACTTACGCACGGGCCCCTTGGGCTTCGAGTGCGGTCTGGTGAAGATGGGGATGATGTTCTCGAAATATCGACGGCAGCATGGATGGCTCTTGAAGTAATCTATGTCATTGACGATCTCGAGGTGGAAGAGGTCGATCGCAGTCTTCTTGTGGTGACACCGCATCACGCTCTCAATGATGTAGACCAGACCTAACTTCAGTCTCTCCAACATCTCATCACACCTCTTGATCGTGTCCATCAGCTGAGGCAAAACCACCGCCCCATGTCCTTGGAAGTAAGTGTCCTACAGCCTATTTTTTCTCCGAGTCCCGTCGCTAGCTGCCTCATCGCCTATAATCTTCAATTCAATTAGCAGGACAAACTCGAACATGAAAAAGCTAGCGACTTTGCCCCCGAGGTCAAAGTGGAGGGCATCGCCATCAACTGGACTAGCAGCCGACATAAAAGAGCATCGATCATCTGAGCCGAATACTGCAACTCTCTCATAGGGTATAGAGGCCACAGAAAGGACTGATGCAGCATATCTGCATGCTGGTCGTCCAGCAGCTCCAGGACTTGAATGAAGCTGTTAAAGTTACTGTTTTCCAGTAACTTTGCCTAGTATCTGTCTCAGCTCTGCATCCAGATTATAATCCATCCTGTAAAAATTGAAATAGAATATTAGAATATTGTATATGAAATAATGGATCCTTGACAATTTCCCATTCCTTCCCTGCCGAGCCGCCTTTCTTCACCATTCGATGCCTCCGTCGAGAGATACCCTCCCCAAAAAAGTGCACTTCTGTAATCTTTTATTACACGCCCACCCATGAAAGAATCATGATATACTGGAGGAAGGTGGGGATGACGTCAAGTCCGCATGGCCCTTATGGGCTGGGCCACACACGTGCTACAATGGCAATTAATTCTTGACTACTAAAGCCATGGTAGCGAGTCTTGTCCTAGTATTAAAGCTGCACTTCCCCACAAGCTAAGCAAGGAGAGTTAGAGACAAGAAGACCCCCTTTTCGAGGACTAGTGACTTCTCTACGCCGATAAACTATGGTTCAAGCATGGGGAGCGAACAGGATTAGATACCCTGGTAGTCCATGCCGTAAACGATGAGTGTTCGCCCTTGGTCTACGCGAATGCCCAGCCAAGAGGCTAATCAACTGTGTAAAGGCTAGTAGTACAGTTAGGAGGCGGGAGGGTCTCCCGTCAGACTGGTATTCTACTCTTTGCTAGATGAAGCATAATAATCCAAAATTAAGCGAACCGAATCGTAACTTCTATATGCAAGACACAGACTCATGAAATTTTTTCTCTTTTACAAAAAATTAATAATATGAATTTTTAACCGTATTATCTAAAATTAATAATTGCCATAAAAATTAAAATTAAAATAACAAAATAAAATTAAAATTAAAATTAAATTTAAAATTAAAAGTTAAAATTAAAATTAATAAATTTCTTCAAATTAAAATTATATAAAATGAAAATTTAAATTAAAAAAAATTATCATTACAATTAAATAAAAATAAAAAGTTAAAATTAGAATTAAAAAAGTAATTTCAAAATTAATTTTAAAATCGCAAATTTGTTTACATTAAAATTATAACTAAAATGAAAAGTTAAAATTAAAATTAAATTAAATTAAAAATTTAAATTAAATAAAAATAAAAAGTTAAAATTATAATTAAAAAATAACAAATTTCTTCAAATTAAAATTATATAAAATGAAAATTTAAATTTAAAATAAAATTACCATTACAATTAAATTAAAAAAAAGTTAAAATTAGAATTAAAAATTTTATTTCAAAATTTATTTTAAAATCACAAATTTCTTTATATTAAAATTATAACTAAAACGAAAATTTAAATTTAAAATAAAATAAAATAAAATAATAATTAAATAAAAATAAAAATTTAAAATTAGAATTAAAATTTTAATTTGAAATTAATTTTAAAATAAAAAATTTCTTTACATTAAAATTATAATTAAAAAAATATAAATTTAAAATAAAGTTACGATTACAATTAAATTTAACATAAAAATTGAAATAAAAATTAAAAAGTAATTTGAAAATTAATTTTAAATAAAAATTTCATTAAATTAAAATTATAACTAAAATGAAAATTTAAATTTAAAATAAAATAAAATAAAATAAAAAACTAAAATTAAATTTAAAATTAGAATTAAAAATTTAATTTGAAATTAATTTTAAAATAAAAAATTTCTTTACATTAAAATTATAATTAAAAAATATGAATTTAAAATAAAATTACAATTACAATTAAATTTAACATAAAAAATTGAAATTAGAATTAAAAAAGTAATTTTAAAATTAATTTTAAAATAAAAAATTTCTTTAAATTAAAATTATAACTAAAATTAAAATTAAAAATAAAAATAAAATTAAAAATAAATTAAAAATAAAAAGTTAAAATTCAGATTAAATAATTGATTTGAAAATAAATTCTAAAATAACAACTTTCTTAAAATTAAAATTTAAATTTAAAATAAAAATAAAAATTTAATTCCAAATAAAGAGTTAAAAAATAATTAAAAAAATAATTTTAGAATAACAAATTCCTTTAAATTTTGATCGAGAGAAAAATGTGTAATTAAAATTTCAAACATTTAGTGATTTAAATTAATCTAGGAAATTTATAATTACAAAAAATAATAATAATAAAATATGACTGTTAAACAGCCGGTTCTAACAACCGAGTTCTAGGACTGGCTGTTAACAGCCGGGTTGAACCTACTGTTGATAGCCAGCCGACTATTAGTCAGCCGGTTTCAACATTTTGCTCTCCACTCGTCGGATTCCACCATTTTCGACGAGTTGGAGCTTCCCAAACAACAAAAATTTGGCAATACAGTTTATCTATACACAAATCTAGCCTAAATCATGCCTTTCATACCACAAATTAATATTCCAACCAATAATCTGACTGAAACTCAACAAAACCCAATAATCTAATTATAATTCCACAAAAACTAACATTTACAATTGTTAACAGCTGGCAACCAAAAGTTATTTGGTGAGGGAGATGTCTAGACGACTGATTGTCAATGAATCTGATTTCTTATCTCCAAACCGTGGAGGGGGAGGGGGAGGGGGAGGGGAGATGGAAGGGTATTTTTGAAAAAGTGTCTTTAAATTGTGTTTTCATTTTTTTTAATCAATCAAACGCCAAAGTGGAAATAATGGTGGGTCAAATGACCATTTTCACTTATTTCGTCGATGAATATGTATATTTAATTTTGTAATACAATTATTAATATTTAAAATATATTAATTAATTAGAAAAAGATATCTGATTTGTGAAATTATAAACATGGCATATGATTTGTGAAATATGAATTTCAAATCAATTAGAATATGTAATTTTCACTTTCTTTATTTAGCACTTTTAATTGAGTCTGTGTGGATCTGAAGAGATGGAAATTCCATTAAGGTTTTATTCATTTTTGCTCTCTTTATTGTTTTTAACATGTAAACTAACGGATATAGACACTATGTAGGTATTCCGCAATGTTTGGGTGATTTAAGGGGGTTTGCACCAAACTGAAAGGTTAGGAGGACATTCCACAAAACAAGCAAACGTTAGGGGTATTGCCAATTATCCTATTTTTAAACAAGCAAAAAAAAGGACAACAATCCAAAAGTTTGACAAAAAAAAAAAAATGCTCATTTCAAAGCACGATAATTAAATAAATGTATAAAAAATTGAAATGTTAGGAGGGTATTCTACAAAACAAGCAAACGTTAGGGGTATTGCCAATTATCCGATTTTTAAACAAGCAAAAAAAGGACAACAATCCGAAAGTTTGACCAAAAAAATTTCTCATTTCAAAGCACGATAACTAAATAAATTTACAAAAGATGCACATCGACGTGTAGATGTATTAATTAATGAAAAGTTGATGATAAGAGTGCAATAATAATAATAATAATAATAATAATAATAATAATTAGAAAATATGTGCTACAATAATAAAGGTTAAGAACCTTTAGGGCTTGCTTGGGAGTTTTGTGTACCGTTTATGAGGGTTTTTTAAAGTACTAGTTTTTTATGTTTACCAGGGTCCAATTTTGGGTAGTTTTCAAAAATTATTTTCTAGAGATAATAAAATTAGAAGAAAGTTTACAAAACAACAAAAAAATCATCAATTTGATTGGTTGAGAAATTCAACCCAAATCACACTACATGAATTTTGGATAATTTCAAAAAATAATGTTATTTTCAATCCCTCGTTATTGCAATTGTCCTATGTGACATTCACGTGACGATTAATAATTCGTTACATAAGATAATAAAAAACTATCACATTAATATATTAAATTACTAATCATAACGTGTATGTCACATAAGACGACTACGAAAGTAAACAACTGCAGCTGAGCAATTTTTAAACCGCCTAAAATAATGTCCTAAAATTTTAACAAGGATTTTCCAAACTTCTCATAAATGATTGTTCCCAAAGAAAATTGAATAAAATTGGGACCTTATTTCCCTGTAAGAAAGCCGAAAATACTGTATACGGACTCACGGAATCGGCCGGCAGCGATTAATCGGAAGCAATTAATCAAAATAAAAGGAAAAAAAGATGGAATTGGAGACAGTGGGGAGTCTGGCGATGCACATAATACTCTCAAAATTGGGCCCATCGGATGTTGCGTCGGTGAGCTGCGTCGGAAAGAGATTTCACGTTTGGGCCTCCGACGACTCCCTTTGGGCAAAGTTCTGTTCGTTTGATCTTGAGCTATCTTCGCCTCATGATCCCCACGGCAACCCCGCCCCTTCTTTCAAGGTTATATATATACACACACTCACAGATGACGCTCAAGCTAGGAAATTATGCTAATCTATAATGCTTTTGAATTAGTTTAATTTACTGGGATTTCGAGTTAAAGTGTTAGTTTTTATCGAATTAATTTTACTGTGGAGTTGAACTATGTTTCATTATCACTTCTTGAATAAGTGTTCAAGCTATACGGAAATCTGGGAAATGAACCCAGTGGTGTAAATTTGCGTAAGTGATATCACTTTAAAATGTTCAAACAATTTAAAGTTTTGTAGTCAAACTGAAATTTAGTGTGAAGTTCAGTGGCCAGTGTTGGTATCCCATAATTGTTATCCTCAAAAGCCAGATAATATAGAACAGCTGGGGACAAAAATGGTTTTATAAGGAGTAACTAGCTTTTGAATAATACCTATTTACAATTCAACTGTGTTTACTGAGATGGATCGTTTGCTTTCATTTCTATGCAAATCTTTTTAACATATTTAGTAAAAGTTTTATATAGGTAATGACGATGTGTCTTTTGAAATTCTATTAGAGCTCACTGAAGATTTACTTGGCAGGCAGCTTATCTAGCATGGCGAGAAGCATTTGCTTTGTATCCGTGGTCACTGGTTATACGAGCTAAACAATGCTGGACCAAACTAAAAAGCTGGTTAGCAGTGAACTTACCAGAGGTTTTGCCTACTCTACGCAAGGGTGCATCTGAAGCTGAGATCAATGAGTTTGAGAACTATATGAAAGTAGAATTGCCTCTTCCTACGAGGCTTCTCTATCGTTTTTGTGATGGTCAAGAACTACCAAATGATGAGTTTAATGGAAGCTTTCCTTTAACTTTGTTGGGTATTATGGGAGGATACTCTTTAAATGATCATCTGGTTAATGTGTTCCTGTTGCCCTTAAGTCAGGTGATACTTGATACCAAGGGTATTATGCATCACCTGGGGTTCAGCAATAGATCTGAGTATATTGTTGTTGCAGCTTCTGCCACCTACAGTGAAAAGATTTTCTTCCTGAACTGTAGCACTGGTCAACTTTTTGTTGGTACGATGAATCTTGCTATTGATGGAGAAATGCTTCCTTGTGTGCCAGATACATTGATAAGTTTGGTGCATGAATCAAAAGGTAGTGAACAACAGGATGCCATGCTATTATGGCTCGAAGAACATGGTCGTCGCTTGCATGATGGCTCTATTAAGGTTCGTCAAGAAGGAAAGATCAGACTCATCAATATATTCCCGGAGCAACCTCCTCTATGTTCCTCTGCTATAACAAATGGTGTCAAGGTAACTACTGTTTTTGTGATATTCTAACTACCCTTACCCTGTCATATTTGTTATATTGTTCAGTAACACTGCTTGTGTGGTGTGGAAGAATCTAACAGAGTGCTACTTGATTTTATGTTCTTGTGCCCGGGGGCTTGATTTTATGATTCTTATTGTAAATGGAAAAGCTTGTTCAGTCTTTTGAGGTATATAATTCGCAAAGGTGCTTATAGGGTCCAAGCTAAATTTAAATCACCTTAATATAAAAGAAACCAGAAATTTCCTTAAGCAAATTCTCAGATGACGATGGTTTTCCTTTCCAGGTTATTTTTATTGGCTAACCAAGTGGCCACCTAGTTACATGAAAACCTGAGCTCTTTGTTGAAGCAAGAGTGACTCATTGCCTAGCTGAATCCTATGTTTGTCAAACTGAAGTCACTCATTGATCTGATCTCTGTCTTTTTACTCTTTCAACTCAACTCTTATCATTTCACCAAATATTTACTCCCAGAAAGTTTATTATTTGTTCTTTATGCTATGCCTTCTCTTCTGTCTAAGCTCATTTCTATGTGACTTATAATATATTTGTGAAGGTTGTAGTACATGTTTCTTGGTGATGTGTGAGTTTCTTTCATGGTAAAGCCTTCCTTCTTAATATCTATATAATCTTGTTCTGTCTTCTATTTTGTAGAACTTCTGCATTTTGTTGGATTAAGTTCCTTTATTCTTATTGCCAGTTTGCCATCATAAATTAACTAATATTATGACTATGTGTTCACAAAATGTTGCACGTATTTCAGTAGAGTAGTGCACGTGAGGTAGTATATCTCTAGAACAGATATCTCGTAACTGTAATTTATATTTTCTATGGCCTGCCTCTAGGATTTAACCATTCAACCTAACTATCAAATTTTAACGGTTGAAATAAGTCTAGGACATTTTCTTTACCTTTACCATTTGACAATTGAGATATGAACTTCAGGTCCGTGCTTCTGCTGCATTTGTACCTGAGTTCAGTAACCTTCAAGATGAATCAGACAAGTATTTGTTTGCTTATTCAATCCGCATGTCTCTTTCCCCTGGTGGATGTGTCATCAATGGAATGAAGTTCAGTTCTTGCCAGTTGTATTGGAGACACTGGACTATACGTGCTAATGATGCTGTCGTATCAAATGTCAATGGAGAAGCTGTAATAGGGAAGGTGGGATTTCTTGATTATAACTTTCAAACATTTTCACTTGGTTATGATAGCTGTGACTCTTGAATAAATTGGTTTGAACTTTTTGTTGACTGACTGAACTCTTTTCTTGCTGAACTATGATTAAAACGTTTGATTTGATTCATATATGTGAAGGGTATGCAGTATTTATTCCTGTGGAGCTGCAGGATGAACTTTAATTGACTTAAATTCTGAATCTACATTTGCAAGGATGAGATAGAGAACTATTATAGTCAATTTTAAATCATTTTTGATTTACTTACAGTGGAAGAGAAATAGGCACCAATCTATCCAAGATTAAGCCCCCGTTTGTCCCCCATTTTCTAGAAATGAAAATGGGTGGAATAGTATTTTTTTGAAAAATGAATGGTTGAAAAAGAAAGAAAAGATTTTGATTTACGTGTAATATTATTTTATGAAAGATTGTGTGATTGAAAAATGGGGGAGAAAAAATGGAATGAAATGTAATGAAATTTAATGGAGACCAAACATGGGCTAAATCATTGAATCATTTTTTGAACCATGGACTAGATCCTTCCACCATGGGAAGATGCTCGCTTCATGGAGCTAATTTTCTGATGTGACCGTCATAAAGCTCCTAATTCACAATTTTATATTTATAAATGTGTAGAAAGTGAGTTTAGGATAAGATGGGGATTACTATCTGATTTATGATTTTATTTTATGTGTAAATGTAGATTTTTTTTTCCTGTAATAATTATTAGCAAGTTTGAGTATATTCCCTAGTCTTTTTAGAACTTCTACTTCTCAATATGACAATTCTTGATTTACAATTCTGGCATTGACTATTATATTAACAATTGTTAGGCTTTCACTTCTATTCTCTATTCTTCTCCCAGTTCCTATGTTCTCTTTACTTTGTTTTGTTCCACTGTCCTACATCATCAGGACCAGTCAAAGGTCAGAAAATTATAATTGTACACTAGGACATTTGGCAGTTATTTAATAGACTCCATACATAATTCTGAACGATTTCATCTAGAATATTACAGAGCGTAGACTAGATTAAAAAAATGATCCAGTAACTAATCTAATGGGTGACGAATTTATTTTTTATATCTGAATATGCTTCAAGGGCTTTACAGGGGCTTCATGAAGCAGATCTATTTGGCTGTTTCATTCCATTCAATTTCTGCCAACTCCTTGATATTGACTAAGAAGTTTGAAGTATTCATGTTGAGCACAATATCTGGTCTATTATGAATATTGCTAAACACCTCCTCTACATTACATTTTATATACAGCGTAATTTTTGTGCATAGTTGGGTCTTGTTAATTGTACATCGGTGCTTTTTGGTTACATAAGTAATATTGAAGACAAATAAATGTAGCCATATGACTTATCAAGAAAATGATTACTACTTCACAAGCTTCCAAAGACTCTTTTTGTTGAGTTAATGTTGTCACATTTTCAGTCTTTAAAATTTTATTTACTCTTATCTTAATCACACAATTGCAGTTTCCACTACTACATCCTGGAGGGGATGAGTTTGTCTATGAGAGTTGCACACCTCTGCCATGTTCTCAAGGATCCATTGAAGGATCATTTACTTTTGTCCCTGGAAGGTATGCCTTAAATTTGACATAGTGAATTGCAAAAGATATAAAAAAAAAAAATTAGTGTTTTATCTCTCTTTCAGTGTTTTTTCGTTGTGTGGTCATTTCTCTCTTCTTGTGCCTTTCATTGCTTTCTGTTAACTTGGATTTTTTTGGCATAAAAACTGAATAAGAATGAAATTTTTTGCAATAGATAAAGGTTGATTGGCTTTTATTTTCTGAAAATTTGATGCACGGTTTTGCCCAGATTGGCAGATCCAAAAGGAGACCAGTTTGTGGCTGAAGTAGCACGGTTCCCACTGCAGTTACCAGACTATATTTTCTGATAACTCTATTGTGCAAAGTCAATTATGGGAATGCTGTATTGATACAGAGTTGTTTTTCTTCTGTAATTTCGTTTGCTAAATATTCTTTCATTGATGAAATCTCCAAATCTGCTAGTGTGTTTCAGTGTTTCATTGTGTCTTTTAATTATAAAGAATGGCCATTTGCAGACTATTTGAAGGATGGTCTAATTGTATGCTATAGAAAATAGTTTGCTGCAAAGTGAAACTACACACTAGAACTTGGAAGGACCTCTTGTAGTATTAGAGTTAATATAATAATTCCTAGTCTTTCTTGAGGTGTACAAGAATTGTTAACTGCCTTCGATACCATTTTCACAAAATAACTCTATAGTTCTTCAAGTTTGTGTAGGCTGAATCTAAGTGTTGGTTAGATAAGCGTCATGTAGTAAGAGGAGTAGTTGTGAGCCCTATACACCAGGTGTGAAGGGAGAGCCTCAATTGGTGTGAAAAATTTTGATACTCGCAGCTCAATATAGAACTACAAATCTTAATTATCTCTTATTCTGATTTTTAACCAATGTAATAAATTGTGTAAAGCACTCCAATGCATCTAAACCCCTGTTTGATGACAATTATAAAGAGAAATTGGTAGAAGATGATGTTTTGAATAGTGATTTGAAAATGTGTGATTAAAAAGTAAAAAAAAAAAATTGAATTTATGTACAAAATATTTTTATTGTGTGAATGTGGTCTTAAAAATTAGTATATGAAACAAAAAGCTTTAACTTAAAAGAGTCAAACTGAGTTATGACAAAGACTATATGTACAAAATGTGTTGAAGTGACACTAGCTCTTGCTCACAGTGATTGGGCCATATATGCCACAGTGAATCAGTTATTAGAGGAGTATTCAAGTGATTCATTCTAAGTTGATCTTTGGTATTCAAAAAGTAGAAAATAGATCTATTCTATTGAATCACTTGAAGTTGCATATTAGAGAAGAACTTATTCTTTATATGTATGTTAAAGATGGTGTCTTATTAAGACTTATTCCAAAAAAATCTTTACATGTGTCGATTTCAATTTCAATGTACAACTAAATCAATAATTTTTAACGATTATATCAATTTCATACCGATTTAAAATAATAGAAATGTTATTGTAAAACTTTGTTTGAAGCAACCAATGGAAAGTGAAATGGAGAAGAGAGACAATAGTTATTTCGAGTCTTCTAATCTATGGAAGACAATGACAAATTGAAGAATGCTTAGTGTAGGGCAGCTTAGCTTACTTTCAGTTGAGAAACTTGGGTTTCTGTCTTTATTACCATCAATTTAGAGTTCATTTGGCATGATTTTGATTTTAGTTTCCTGGAAAATAACTTTTGAATAAAGTTATCTTTAATTTTTGTTTAAAAGTAATTTTTAAAAGAATTTCTTATCTAAGAAGTACTTTTTGAGAAAATTACATTAAATCACTTTTTTTAAAAGCTTTTCTAACTAAAAGAAACACTTTCATAAAATTAACCAAACGAGTTCAAAAATAACTTTTGGATTTCAAAAGCTCATTTTAACTTTTAAAAAGTCACGCGAAATAAATCCTTTGTGTAGTCTAATTGAATTTGTTTTGTCAAAAATTTCAAACAAATCTTCAAAATATTATAGCCTACAAAGTCCATTTTGTGGGGACCTTTATTGTAGAAAAGAGATGCTCGAAGCAGAAAACCAACATTGTATTCTTTTGTGGACTCCGAGTACTAATCAATCCAGCTCTAGAACCCCATTTCTGCCCCCAATTGACAGCTATCTGTAACACCGCACAAGCCATAGGACTTTCCATTTATGCTATGGCTGAATTTTAACGCAAACAAGGCGCGGGATAGAAGAACGTACATGAGGCTGCATGGAACATAATGGACGAAACTATGGCAGCCAAACATGGCCGAAGTGTGGAAACATCTAGAAACGAAAGCATCTTCAACTGGCTAGAACATTCTAGACGCATTAGCACTTCAGGCTGGATAGAAGATTCTAGACAGCAAGCATCCAAGCAGCTTCAGGCCAGAAGACTGCTAAAAGGTAACTCGCATTATATTGTAGTTCTCTAGATAATACAAATATTCTTATACATATTTATAAGATATTAGGTAGAGATCTTTGAAATCAAATATCTACCATTAGATCAGCTAAATATAATAAATAAATAAAAAAAGGTTCAACCCCAACTTTGAGGGTCTTACCGTTCTGCCCCTAGAACTTTGTGAGGGAGGTAAATAGTGGAATGTACCCCAGCACACAAGGAAACAAGAGCTATCTGTACACTGGACCTATACGAAATTCAATTCCATGTTTCAGGAATCTAACCCTCATATTGCGACTGCCAACAAGGCGTGAAATAACCTCACTCATGTCTTTTGCACTACTGAACTATACTCCGGAGGCATTAAATTAGCTAAATCCTAGCCATTTGAGGAGGCAAACGATGAACTCATTTGTGAAGTGTCAAGTTCCAAGTCCCAAATTGTAAAAAGCATTACTATATAATAGAAAATGCATTTTTCAACCCTTGTCCTCCTATATTCTATCTTGATTTCGAAGGCTGACCTTCTGTCTTGATTTCGAAGGCTGGCCTAGCAAACTAACGACTTGAAGTCTACAAGCCCATGATATATCGCTCGTCCAGGGGCATAGGAACTAGGAAGGGGAGGCAGTGCTCTCTAAGCCCATTTACTTTTTAGGATGTATTTGATTGATATAAAAAATATCTCCTATAAAAGAAAATGTTTTCCTTCTTTTAAAGAAAACAAAAACTGACCCCAAGAATGTGCTTTCCTCAAAAACAACAAAAATTAGGCATCTTTTCAATGGTTAAAAACTATTTTCCTTGAAAAAAAAATGATAGTCAATCACTACAAAAGTTAAAATCTGGATGAAAAAATTCCGAATCAAACACTCCATTAATGTAAAATAAATAAATAAAGTAAACAAAAATAATAATAATATATGCAATCTTCTAACATATATAATCTAATACAATAGCAACATTTATCTGCCTTTTTTTCTTGTCAATTACTTCAATCAATCTCTTCGAGCCATCAAGATGTTCCATGTTGAGCCCTCTAGCTAGTCTATTTGACACTAACTAAATGATTATGGAAAATGTCCTGTGTACAGATAATTTTTTCACAGATCTTCTATGGGACAGTCACATGAGGGTGAACCTCATGAGAATATTTTATGGGAGTGAGCCCCACTGCCATGTGTATTCTATAAAATGTCAGTAGAACTTTTCTATAGGTTTACCATTGTTCATTAAAAACCATACATTTGGGCTGATTTTCTCTCCATTTAGATTATCCCACTCTGGAACAAGACTGCAATAGTAGAAGTGAATCCGCTATACATAGTATTAACTTCAATTCATTTATTTTGTAATTCCACTAGTGGTTATAATCAATAACACTTCCATCTACAACCTACTCAAAAGAGAAAATATGGCTCTTTCGCCATGTAACTCCAAAAGCTATTGTATACAATATCTACAATCGGAAGAGAAATCAAAGATCAAAGTTAGTAGGCACGTAAAGGATGGATGAGCTCTAATTGCAGGTTATCAAACAAATCACAAAGATTTCTTCTCTTTCAAAGGTTCACAATCTGATAAAACTGAGGTCAACGGCATTGGTAGATTCCTTGCAAAAGAGATCAAGCCTTCCTCAAACGGTTGATTACAACCTTTGCCATCCCATCAATTTCGTCCTCATATTGCTCATACACAAAGAACAATGTGAACGCAACAACTAATGCTGTAATTATTTAACCGGTATAAAAATGATCAGTTCACTGTTTAGAGTAGCATTAAGCATCACCATGTGGTAATTTAAAAGTCATACCTATGCCAATGGCCATGGTCAAGAAATGTGGAACGATCAACTTGCAGAAGTAGAAGAAAGATGATACCTGCATCAATTGGAAGATGTTAAAATGTCAGCAAGAATTTCACTATGAATTCATGATCAACTAGTACTACATTTCACGCTAATATTACATGAAAAACTCACGAGCATCCAAAATGAGGGGAAATGATAGTACTAATAGACAGATAACACAGATTCCTAGCATATAAGCATTTCAACATTGTCATATAACAAGTGTGCATATGATGCACAGCATCACTAAACTCATGAATGCTGAAAATAAATTTCCAAATTTAACACATTTTTAAAGCATTTGCAAGAAACTAAAACCAACAATGCTTTCTTTCTTTATTCTTTGTCTTTCTTTAAACTGAAACGTAGTAATTTAGTCATCAGCTAAATCAGCAAGTTCTACATTAGTTATGATGTTTGGAAAGTTTTCAAGACAAACCACACCTCCAGCTCTTGGCATAAACAGCGTATGACGGGCACTTGTGCAGGCTACCTGATTGGCATTCAGTCTAACAAAATTACAAACTAATGAATGAAAAAATAGCATTAGATTAGAAATACTATTTGAAAGTGCTCCCTCCTCCGCCTGAAGTTATGGATTATTGACTGCCGCCAATCCACTAAGATAATATTATCTTTTTAACCTGACTAATATGTAATAACCAAATTCTAAGTAAAATATTTCATAACACTATTGATAGGGTACTAAGAGAGAACCCAAATATCCTGTATGAACCTTAATATCAAGTACCAATACTGTGGAGAGAGAGTAAATCGGGGGAACAATATGTCATATTGCTTTCCAATATATACATTACCATAGATGGGAAAGCCAACAATTAAGGCTCATGCCACATCGAACTTTTTTTTATGCTCTTCAATTGGTCAATAGGGTGGAGGGAGGATAGTAGTCAAAGGAAGTTACGAGTGCTATCTATTGGTCAAACATAATGCTTTTGCACTATCTTTGGGTAATATAAAACTGTCAACATATCAGTTGAAGCTTATTCCCCTGTTTAGAATCCAAAATAAAATAAATCAAAAGTAGCATTGTTAAGCAGATTCTTGGAATAATTTTCTCCATTTAATCAAGCACACAAACAGGTTTGAAAGGTAATGTCAAGGTATCATGTCAAGGAAAGGCACTAGCCAATCACCTCAAGACTTAAAGCATCTTTGGGCATAGTCCTCTTGACAAAAAGGAAGAAAGCTTCTCAGCAACCCATGATTTATGGCATCAGCCCAAGTCTAGTCTTATTTCCAAGGCTTTTGATCTCACAGTATACTAAGTATAGTTACACTTTTTAAAGTAACCACAATACATTCATGTAAACAACAAACATTGAATAATTACGTAATGACAAAACTATATACGACACAAAAAAATACTACACACTTATCAATAAACCAACGCATCATAAAAATTTCATTCTCTTCTATATATCAAATCTGTGATATTGTTGTGTAATTGTTTTATCAATTTTCTCTCACCCCAAAATCATCATTTCAAAGCTTACATATCAGTGTACACATTCAACAATTTGCCTAGTAAGAAGTATATACCCAATCCCACAACAAGAAAGTGAGGGAG